GGTCTCATCAAGGCTGGCTGCATCATCTTCCTCTGTGGCCTGGTAAGGCTGCACCCACAGGGGGGAGGTGATCAAAGAGCTGGCCACTGAGTTCATGTCAGAGACAGTCCCTGTTCCCCTTACTAGGACACCCATTTGGAAACTGGGTTCCTTTGAACAGGGCTCTAGGTCCTCTCCATGCATGGAGATACTCCTTAGTTGGAGTATCAGTCTCTGCAGGGCCCCCTGCACCCAGGTATTTTGGCTGTTTTTCTCCTTGTGGAGCTCCTGTCCCCTCCAGGTCTTTCTGTCTCTCTCTTCTTCCATAAGGATTCTGGCCCTCTGCCCAAAGTTTGGCTATGAGTTCTTTTTTCTTTAGAGGAAACCCAGGGAGGTATTACTTATTTAAATAAATCTAAGTTCTGAATATCTCCTTTTATTTTTATGGTTTATGGTGGCCTCTCATTTAGTTAGGCTTGACTTGGATTCCTCATTGTCCTGTCTCCACTTCCCATTGGCTGGAATTATGTACTGGTCCACCATACCCGGCTCCTGAATTTTCTGAACTTTGGGATTTTTTTTCTCCCTCAAGTTTGTCCTTTATCTTTGGAGAGAACGAATGAAAAGTTTTCCTGGTAGAACCTAATGTAGAGGTTATTGCTGAGTCAGAACATAGAAATCAAAAGCTTTTTTTTTTTTTAAATGAATAATACCAGTTTATGTCTTTAAGGTTTTTCAGTGACCCTCCTAGTGACCTCCCTTCCCAGTTTTCTACATGACAAGGAATATGAGTATCTTCACTTAGAAGATTCTTTTCCTTTTCTTTCCAAGGGGAAGAGTTAAGCTTGGAACTTACTGAAATGTCAGTGGTAGGTTCTGTCTTGTGTGTTCTTGATGGCTCTTGTTGTAAGATCATCCACTTGGAGGGCTGCTTATAATTTTTTTCATCTTTTCTTCCCAAGAAAGGGGAATGAATTTTAATGGCTGTGTTTTTACTGAAGTCAGTGTTGAGAATTTTTACTGAAATGTGGGCATGTGTGTGTGTATGTGTGTGTGTGTGTGTGTGTGTGTGCATTACCCTTAATTTTGGGTTCTGGAACTGACATGCATAGGAAAATAAACTTTCTTATGCAGAGGATAAGTACATGATGATTCTGTAGCACACATCACTCCATATACAGAAAACATGGGAAGGTAGCAAGTATGTGTTTGCTGAAGGAGTGTTAGGGATGTCCCAGTCAGTGTGTTGGTTCGTGGTTCTGAATTGATGCTGATTCCAGGAGACCTCAAGAAACATGGTCCTCCAGTTAAAGTAGGGGCTTAATGGAGGTCAGGTGATTGTTGGAGTGTTGGCTGAAGTCTGATTCACAGTTAGGTCCAGTTGGTCTCCAAGCTCATCCTGTGGTCATATACCTCCCCACCCCCAATGTATAGTTGGGATAGATATATTTAGAAGTTAGCAAAATTCTTGCACTTGTTCCCTGACCTATGGGCTATTATGGTTGTGGTTGTAAAGGCTAAAAGCCTTTAGAGCTGCTTGTTCCCGGAACACTAGTGAATCAAGACCAGTATTGCATCCCTAGAGGAATTGCAGAAATTAGTGCCATCATCAAGGATTTGAAAGATGCCTGGTGGAGAATGACAGTTGACTATCAAAAACTTTATCAAGGAGTGACTCCAATTGAAGCCGCTGTACCAGATGTGGTATTCTTTCTTAAGCAGGTTAACACATCTCTTGGTATATGGTTTGCAGCTATTGATTTATTAATTGCCTTTTTTCTCTATACCTGTCCGTAAGGACCTCCAGAAGCAGTTTGCTTTCAGTTGGCAAGGGCAGCAGTTATACCTTTATGTTAACTCAGCCCTGTGCCAAAACTTAGTTTGAAGAGATCTTGATCATCTGTCTCCTTCACAAAATATTACATTAGTGCACTCTATTGATGACATTATGTTTGGACCAAATGAGCAGGAAGTAGCAACCATATTGGACTTGTTGGTAACACACATGTGCATCAGAGGACGGGAAATGAATCTATCCAAAATTCAGAAGCCTTCTACCTCAGTGTCTTGATCACTGTTTTGTTGCTGTGAAGAGACACCATGACCATAGCAGCTCTTATAAAAGAAAGCGGTTACTTGGCATTTGCTTACAGTTTCAGAGACTTAGCCCATTATCATTATGGCGGGAGGGAGCGTGGTGGCACACATGCAGACACGGTGCTGGAGAAGTAGCTGAGAGCTCTACATCTGGATCTGCAGACGGCAGGAAGAGATGCTGGGCCTGGCTTTTGAAACCTCAAAGCCCACCCCCGTGGGCATACTTTCTCCAACAAGGCCATACCTACTCCAAAACTTTGACTCTTTCTCAGTTAGTGCCACTCTCTGGTGACTAAGCATTCAAATATTTGAGCCCGTGGGTCCATTCGTATTCGAACCATTATGCTCAGTAAAATTCTTAGGAGAGCAGTGGTGTGGGGCATGCAGAGATATTTGCAATGATTAGTTGGGCTATTTGGATTATGGAGATAGCATATTCTTCCTGTGGGTGTGTTGCTGTGGCTTGTATACCACATGACTTAAAAAACTGCTAGCTTTGTATGGAGCATCTAACAGGAGAAGGTTCTTCAACAGATCCAGGGTGCTGTGCAGGCTGCTCTACCACTTGGATCAAATGCTTCAGCAGACTTGATGGTTCTTGAGGTGTCAGTGGCAGACAGGAATGTGATTTGGCTCTCCTGTTGGTGAATCACAGAAGAGACCTTTGGGATTTTGGAGCAAGGCTCTCTCATGATTTGCAGGCAATTATTTTCCCTTTGTGAAACAGCTCTTAGCCTGCTGTTGGGCCTTAGTGGAAACTGAACACTTGACAATGGGCCACTGGATTACCATGCAGTCTGACCTTGCCCTTGCTGCCAGTCCATTTCTTGACTGGCATTAGGGCCTACTTCTTAGGGATTCTAGCATATATTGAAGACCAGCTGAGACATCCAGTCTCATGGACTGAACAGTGTCGGGATTCTTGGGCCTTTTTGTTGTTCATAGGCAACCATTATTAGCTAGACCATAGCCTGTAAGTCATTTTAGTAATTCCTCTTTACATATATATGTATGTATTCATAGTCATTCTCTAAGTTCCATTCCTCTAGAGAACCCTGACTATTACAGAAGTCTTTGGAGAGCTAAAGCTGGGGGTAATGTCTGAAGTGCTGCTTTAAAGAGATTGTTTTAGCTACGGCGTAGACTATGTATTTGGTGGTGGTGGTAGTGGGGTGGTGAATGCATACTGGAAATTTGAAGGCTGTTGAATTGCTGTGTGGCTAAATTATATATTTGGACAATGAAAAAATAGAAATGGTGGGATATGTTCAATTCTAGGACATGTTTTGGAGGTTGAGTTGTCTAGACTTAGTAGTAGATTGGATGGGGAGAGGATGGACAGACAGATGAGAAATGATTGTAGATACTTGTAGAGGTGTGTGTGTGTGTGTGTGTGTGTGTCTGTGTGTGTTTTGAGTGTGCTGGAAGTAACTGGTTTGGGAAGGGAAATAAGCTGACAAATATTTTTTTTTTCTTCACTACATTTGGATGGCTTTCAACAATCCAATTGGAGTAGTTCAGTAGTTAGTAACAGGAAATTTGAGTTTAGAGTTAGGGCAGAGTTCTGGTTGGTAGGTTATACATTAGGAAATCATTAGTATATGAGTGGTATTTTTGAGCCATGAGATTGCTTGGTGAGAGAGCATAGAGAAGTGTAATAGAGGAGGGGGCTCTAGAAGGGAGATTGAGAAGGTGTGTCACTGAAAGGGTAAATCCATGTTAATGTGGTTAATCTCCAGAAGAGAGTGCTTAATGAAGAAGTCTGCTCTCCAACAGAGGAGTGAAATGAACACTTGCTCTAGTGGGAAGTAAAGATACAGAAACGGGTTTTCCTAGGATGGAGCATGTTTAGTTCAGGGCAAGTTTTCCTATGTGCTTTTTACAGACACTAGAATAATCTGGTGGAGAGGGAAAATACATGACGTAGAACAGAAGTTTTTAAATAACAAGCAGGGTTAGCCGCAGATGAGCTCTGTGGAGAGCAGATAGAGGAGGAAGTACAGATGTGTGCAGGTTGGCTGATTTTCATGAGGGAAGTGGAAATGGTTGCGTGTATTCCCTTCCTTCCTTTTGAGAAGTGTATAGTTAGAACAATAGTTGAGAGGAAGGGATGAACATTGAGGCAGGGGAAAATATAGTTCCAACACCATGAGGATTTTTTTTTTTTGAGACATTAATTATTGCCTGGGTTGAGCATTCCTAATACAAACATCTCAAATATAAAATACTCATAAAAATATGACAACTGTCATAAGTGGAAAATGCCAGGTTGGCCTCATGTGTGTGATGTGTTGTAGTCAAAACGCTAACTCACTAAAACATTGTATAGATTTACCTTCAGGCTATAAGTTATGTATGGAAACATAGTGAATTGTGTGTTTGGATTTGAGTCTTGTATATAAGATAACTTGTACAAATATTCTTCCAATTCCTCTGATCAGAAACATTTGTTTTCAAGCATTTCGGACAATGGATATTCCTTGTAGGATTTTCTAGTAGTTTTGAATGACTCTTTTAGATTTTAGCTATGTAGTTATATTGAATCTAGGCAGCCTGGCTGTATGATTTTTCTCCAGTAATATTCTGCTTCTTAGATGGAGTCATGGAGTAACAGGATTTTTGGAAATTTCATTTTTCTAGATGAGCTAAATGGAGACAAGGACAGGACCTGTAATTCAAGACTTTTTACTTTGTGATGACAGTCTAATGGTGTGCCATATGTTTTAAAGTGAATTAGAAAGCAACTTTCTTTCTTTTTTTTTTAATTTCCGAAAACAAAGCAAAGCAAAACAAAAACAACACTTCTGAGGACAGCATGGATGCAGTTGGTGTATCCTGACAATCTAGTTTTTACAGAAGTTTCTTTGGGCTTGTAATTCTCTTCTCAGAAGTAATGTAATCTTTTTGCCACTTTCTTTTTAAAGGTCTGTCTATGATGGTGAGGAACATGGGCGCTTCATGGAGAAGCTAGAGACTCGCATCCGCAACCATGACCGAGAAATTGAGAAAATGTGCAACTTTCACTACCAGGGCTTTGTGGACTCTATCACTGAGCTGCTGAAAGTGCGAGGAGAAGCCCAGAAGCTCAAAGTAAGGAGACACTTGGAGACCTCTGCTCCTCTGTCCTTTCATGGGGTTCTTGTTAGCATTGAAAGAGTAGGAGTCATATTACATGACATGTTGTAGGACAGGCTTGTTTATTTTCATGGGGTAGATACTGTTAGTTCTCACTTTTCAAATGTAGAATTGAGATGAAGATACATGGACAGCATGGCCAAAACCATAATGTTGGTATAAAGTGGTCTTTACTACACAAAGTTCATGTACAGTTTAGATATGAGTACATTATTACTATTATTGTTGTTATTATTTATGATAAGGCCTTCCTGTTATTATTTGTGATAAGGCCTCACCTGGCCCCAGACTTGCTTCTTTCCCAGCTCCTCAAGTGCCAGGATTATAGGGGTGTCTTACAGTACCTGGGATGTAGTGAAGATTTTTATGCAGTAAGGAAAGAGTTAATACCAAAACCCCTATAAAAGAGTTTGTGGGTGAAAAGAAGTTAGTTTAGTTGGGATACCTACAAATGGATGTGACCAGTGATCAGTTACTGCTTCTTTCAAGAGACTGCTCTTAAAGCCCTCAGCTTCTTTGCTGGAAGAAAGCTGCTGCCCTTGGCATGGAAGCACGGCTGTGCTTACTCGAAAGGCCAAGGTGGAAAGAGCAGTGGTGGCTGTGGAGTGCTGGCTTGAGGGAGAAGATCCCGTGCAGGAGGGAGGCAGCAGGTCCTTTCTCTTAGGCAGACGACTCTGCCTGTTGACCAAAGATTGTCTCTAAATTTCTGTTATGTTGGACACTTTAGATCTTTGTTATTTTCTATGAAAACACATCCATTCTGTCAGTAATAAAAGTTTTATTTTCTTCTCTTTAGTTTTTATGCTTTGTTTTCCTTTTGGAATCCGAATTAGAATCCATAATACAATTTTTCCTGCATGGGTTAACTGGACAGTGAATATAAAATTTATCTCAATATATGACTAAAAAAAGCAAAGAAAAAAATTTTATTGAAAAGATAAGCAAGCTACTAGATAACAAATTTATTCTATGACTGCAGTAGTTTAAAAAAATCATTTCACTGCAAAACTTGACTGAAATGGACATGAAATCATGAAACCCTTAAACTTTGTAACTTCTTTTATTTAATGCGAATTTTGGTGTTTAACTACAGAAATGTTAATGTGTTTGAAATGGAAGTGCTATGCTGTCTCCAGTACATACATATAGTGCAAAATATTTTATATATAAAATATTACTTATATAAAATTTTCAACATTTTGAAGTCTCAAACACATTGGATCTTAAGGTTTTTTTTTATGACAGAATTCATTTATCTTGAGAAACAGAATATTGCCAATATCATTAAATAATTCTCTCTTTTATGTTTCTTAGTTGCTGTCTTCATCTTAGATGTAACAAGTCTTTTGTTTTGTTTTGTTTTTTCTTTGCTAATATGGTATTTATCCTCACTCAGCCATCATAGCTTCCTTCACATTCTTTTGGTTTTTGTTTTTCAAGACAGGTTTTTTTTTTGGTGTGTGTGTGTGTGTGTGTGTGTGTGGTCTTGGCTGTCCAGGACTTGGTTTGTAAACCAGGCTGGCCTTGAACTTATAGCAGTCTGCCTGCCTCTGTTTTCCTGAGTTCCATCACAATCTTGATTATTCTTTTTCTATACTCCTTAGTCTTATATACCACAGACGTCTCCCACATAGTCTTGGGGCCCTGCCCCACAGTGGGCCAAGGATATAAAACGTATAGAATATGCTCTAGGCACGATGATGTAGAATACTGCCTGTAATCTCACCAATTGCTGACCTTAACTGCTGAGTGAGACTTCGTTTTCTTCTTCTTTCTTTCCCACTTGAAATTGGCTCAAGTTACAGATTCCTTCAGGGTCGTCAGAATGCCTCCGAAGGAATACCTGGCTGTACTTTTCCAGTTTGGTATTTTGGCTGCTTCAGACTGTCACTAGTTTCTCTGAGGGTGGGAAATAGTGTCTAGCTGCACACCTGGTAAGCTCTTCTCTAGGGGCCCATGTAACCCAGGTGAAGGATGCTGAGCTTCTTAACTCTAGGAAAGAATTTAGAAGTGGAAAAGTTTAAGTATTAACTACTTATAACACTAAATTAATACAGGTAGATTGCACTTTTTGTGATGCTCATTATCTTGTGTTCACAGCATCATGTGAATGTACATACACTTTCATATTTTCTAATTACAAGTGTATTCCTAGACGGTTGATATATCCTCTTTTCATTGTAGTGTACCCAACAGTTATCATCTAGAATTAAAATAGTTACTTTTTTTTTTTTTTTTAACCAGTGACATAGATTAGGCTGCTATGGATTTGTTTTTGATGATGGTTTGCATGAAATCAGATTAGTGGGCATTGATCAGCACTTCTAAGAAAACTTGAAATGAAGCAGAATAGAATTGAATAGAAAATAAAAGTGTATTATATCTATTAAAGATAAACACTGTTTCTTGAAAATTATTTCTATTTGCATGTTTATGTGTGTCTCTGTGTCTTTTTCATTGTGTGTGACTTTGTTTCTGTCTCTGTGTCTCAGTGTTCATGTGTCTGTGTATGTATCTCTGTGTGTCTGTGTTTCTCTATGTGTATCTGTCTGTATCCCAGTTTCTATCTGTTGTGTCTCTGTGTATATTTCTGTAGTCGTGAGTCTTAATGTAAATATCTGAGTTTGAGGTTAGAAACATTGAGAAATGATGCAGTCAACAAGGCTATTTTAGTATGAACAACAGCGGTGAATGTAGTTGTATTGGAGGTTTTAATTTTGGGAGGCCTCCAGAGTAGGATAAAAACATCCAGTTTATTATTTCGTAAGTACTTTGAAGGAGATAGTGCTGTCATTTGCTGTAACTGTGCCCCTTAAAAAAAAAAAAACTGTACCTTTTTTTTCACATTCTTTTATTATGAGCTGAACCCTATTTTCTAGCGACAGGTATTCGTTAGGAGCAGCCTGTCTTCTGTTAGCTCCTCAGGGTACTGGAGGCAGCAGTTGTGTAAGTGTAGGGTGTAGTATCCTGGGCCCAGGTATAGTGTGCAGGGTCTCCAGATCACTTTTCCTTTATTTATGGGCTCAAAAAGAATTTTCCTTTGTTTTTCATGTGATACACATTTGGTTCCTAAAATCTGTTTACATTTCATCAAGCTGCAGTTTGTCAGTGCCTTCATGGCACATGACATCTAAATGTCATTCTCATCATTTGATCTTGCCATCCTACCAGCTGTTCTTATTTTAGACAGGTCATAACAACTTCTGGCTTGTAGGCCAAATCCAGTTTGCCTCCTATTGTTGTAAATAAAGTTTTATTGTGACCTAGCCACACTAGCATATCACATTTTATTTATGGCTGCATTCCTGTCAATGTTGACTAGTTACTCTACAGAATTTGTGGCCTGAAAAACTGATAATATTTACCATCTTACTGTAATGGAATCAGATGGCTGGCCCCAGTTTTAGGTGATGCTTCAGATAATGCATTAGATTTGCATTTGGAAGATACTTTTTTTTCTGAGTTCACAGTCTGTTGGTTAATGCTATGATGCTCCTAGGAAAATAATACAGAGGTGCTATAAGTATCTATTGCTTCTTTTTGTTAGGTTTTATAAATATCTTCTGGAAGAGGTCAGATTTTATTTTATCTTTGAAAGTAAGGGTACATTCTCTAACCTGCTATGGACTGTATTATCCAGTTATAGTACATAATTTAAGATAAAAATAAAAAAAAAGTGTTTTCTGAAAAACTAGTTCCTTGAGATGGTGTTGGATCACATAAGTTTGGAAACCATTCCATATGATGCCCGTTTCCTGAGCATTTATAGTGTTTGTTATTCTCTCCTCTTTGTGTGTGCAGTGCAGGTGTGCCCATGTGTTAATACTATCAGATAACATTTCTTGATGCTCTAAGGGACATTGTGGGAAATCCTGGATTGAGGGATGCCATAAAAGTATAAGGAGCAGCAGTTATTAGTGGAAGACTAGATAATCTCTGTTTAAGAAGTTTGAAAGTTAATATTGTCCATGTTTGATAATATCTGAAATGATAAAGAAATTACTATCCTAAAACTTTGTTTTATGTTAGTGGAAATATCAAAAGTAGATAATCAAAAAGTTTTGTGCTGGTTCCTTTAAATTATAAGTCATAGCTCATATTTTGAGGTTGATTCACATATTTTGACTGTCTGGTGGTGGAATTAATGGGGGTATGGAAGTGTTAGAAGCTGTTAGGAATTATTGACCCCCAAACTACTTAATAACTCATTTTGTGGAATTAAGAATGTAACTGGTAAAAACTTACCTTGCGTTACAAAGTTGAGATTCATTTTAGCCTTTTCAGGACTACGTGGTAATGTGAGGAGGTCTGTGTTAACATTTGTCTTCTAGACATTGTACAGATTGGTAAGGCTCTTTGGATTATCTTCTATTTTATTTCATTCTCCTTTGGTTTTTCCTTTTCTCTCCAAAGTTAAAATATAATTTTGGGGACACGGTAGTATCTTACTTTGGAATGAACTATCTAAACCAAACATGTCTCTCAGTCAGCTTTTCTTTTTCTTTTGCAAATGAGCATGGAGATGCCTCTTAGACAAGCTGATAGAGTTTAAGCTGCAGATGGAGCAGCCGGATACCCATGTGCTGGAATACAGAAGGTGTCTAGAGACCCAATCCCAGGCTTTTCATATTACATTTTGATCTTGATCCAGTGATTGTCCAAGTATTTGGTTTTTTTTTAATGAGTTTAAATTGTCTTCTCTCCACAGAACCAAGTGACGGATACTAATAGAAAACTGCAACACGAGGGCAAGGAAGTAAGGCCAGTTTACCTTTTGAAAACATTTTGTTCTTCTGTTTTGTGCTGTTCTCTTTGAATGACTGTTCTTCACTTTGTGGCTTATAGGAATATAAGCAGTGTGTTAGAAGAGTTTGGGTAATGTTTACCCAAAGAGCTTCTTGTAATGTTTACCTGAATGAAATGAATGCAGCCACCACAGGGTACAATGAGATAATGTGCAGCCTCTCCTGGCTGTGCTTTAAAAAAGAAAAAAAAGAAAAAAAACAAACAAACAGTCAATACTCTGCCATACCTGCTGGAATGTTCCTTCCGTCTTCATATTCACTTGCCTCAGACCTCTTCTCTTATGGTGGTTCCTCCTCTTCCTTCTCTTCCTCTTTGTTCTTTTCTTCTTCTTCTTCTTCTTCCTCTTTTTTTCTTCCTCCGCCTCCTTCCTCCTCCTCTTTCTTTTTTTTTTCCAGTCAGGGTCTCATGTAGCCCAAGGTTTCTTTGAACTGATCCTTCTACCTCCATTTTTCCATTGTGATTACTGGCATATGCCACCATACCTCTTCCTTCTCTTCCTCCCTCTCTTCACTGCTCCCTCCTCCCTTCATCCCTCCATCTATTCTCCCTTTCTCTCATTTTTTTCCTTTCTAAAAAATTTATTTATTACAGTTTATTCACTTTGTATCCCTTCTGTAGCCTCCTCCCTCATCTCCTTCCAGGCCCAACCTCCCTTCCTAATCATCTCCTCCTATGCCCCTTCCCCAGTCCACTGATCGGACCTCCTTCCCTGATAGACCTGACCCTAGTCTATCAGGTCTCATCAGGACTGTCTGCATTGTCTTCCTCTGTGGCTTGGCAAGTCTGCACCCCGCAGGGGGAGGTGATCGAAGATGCAGCCCCTGAGTTCATGTCAGAGACAGCCCCTGTTCCCCTTACTAGGGAAAACTGAGCACCTATGAGCTTCCTCTGAACAGGGGTTTAGGTCCTCTCCGTGCATGGTCCTTGGTTCGAGTATCAGTCTCTGCAGGGACCTCTGGGCCCAGAGACTGATTTTTGGTTCTGTTGGTCTCCTTGTGGACTTTCTGTCCCATCTTGTTCTTTCTGTCTTCCCCTTCTTCCATAAGGTTCCCTGCACTCTGCCCAAAGTTTGGCTATGAGTCTCAGTATCTCCTTTGATACCCTGATGGGTAGAGTTTCTTTCAGACCTTCTTTCAGAGGTCCCCTGTGGAAGGCTCCTGTCTTGTTCCTTGTCTTCTCCTACTTCCAGTGTCTATCCTATTTGCCCTTCTGAGTGAAGTTTCAGCCTCTTCCCTAGGGTCCTCCTTGTTGTTTAGCTTCTTTAGGACTATAGATTTTAGTATGTTTATCCTATTATATGCCTAATATCCACTTATAAGTGAGTATATACCATGTGTGTGTGTTTGTTTCTGGGATACCTCACTAAGGATGATCTTCCTTCGTTCCTTCCTTTCTTCTTTCCTTTGTTCTTTCCTTCGTTCCTTCCTTCTCTCTCTTCTTTCTTCTTTCCCTCTTCTTCTTCTTCTTCTTCTTTTTTTTTTTTGTATAATGATCTTACTTAGTTTATGTCTGATAATATGTCAGCTATCTGTATTTTTTCCAAACAAGGTATTACTGTGTAGCACAGGCTTGCGTAGGATTTCCTCTGTAGTAGTAGGCTCTAGCCTTGAACTTATAGCAATTCTCCTGTCACAGTCTCTAGTGTCCTGAGGTTACAAGCATGTTCACCCTACCTAGCTTATGTATTACTTAATAAGATCTTTCCTGAGGACCTTGTTGGAAATTGCTTGCCTTATTTTTGCTTTTTCTAAGTTTGCTTTTATGTACTGTGTTACTGTACTTCATTAGAATCAGCTCCATATGGTTAGAGGGTTTGCTTGTTTTACTCCTGCCGTCTTTCTAAACAGCAAATGCTGTAAAGTGAGTGCTCAACAAATATTTCTTCTAAAAAAAAAAGAATAATCAGGGAGGGGGCTACAGGGGGGGATATAAAGTGAACAAAGTGTAATTAATAAAATTTTTAAAAAATTAAAAAAAGGAAAAAAGAATAATCAATTCTGTTACTTGACAAACTCATCGTTTAAACTTTTACAATTTGCCCTTTTAGTTTACATCCATTTATTTACTTGATCCAAAGCCAAGACTGTTATTTCCAATATCTAATTGATGGGGGAAAAAAAAGAACAGTTGATTTGAAATTTATACAATAATCAACAAGGCTGAGGTCAAAGTCAACCTTCTGACTTGAAGTCATCCACTTTCATTCTCTTTATTCTTTTTACATATCTAAGAGATGCAATTTTTAGGTGTATGTGTGAGATGGATCCTTACTTTTTTCACTTCACATAGTCCTATTCTACAGATATAGTTTGTTACATTTTGAGATGACTGTGGGAAGAGAATGAATTAATCTCCAGTAAACTGGATCTTGTACAAGTCTATGTTTTCTAAGTATGGAGCTTGTTTGTTAAAATGGGACCTTGTTGAGGATAAGAAGGACTGCCTTCCTTAAGGAGCCCAGTGCTCACATGGAAATGTAAGTCATGGAGTCTGAGAGGGTTTGGAGAAAATGGGCAAATGTTTTCTTTTTTTTTCTGAATAGCCTTTGTACTTTAGGGTTCATTTTAAATAGCCCTTTTTTGATGTATATGCAGTGTGGGAGAAAGCAGAAAGCCATGTAGGAGTGTGTCACTGACTGTGGAAGGCAGTTACTAAGCTTGCATAGTAAGTCTTACTGGGAAACTGGGGTTCTTAGATAAATTGAATGCAGGGTAGGAAAATGTAACTGAGAACTTTTTATTTACAGTTCTTGGCATAACTATTTTTTTCCCTTTTGCCAAGCTGGTAATAGCAATGGAAGAGCTGAAGCAGTGTCGACTACAACAAAGAAATATTTCTGCCACTGTTGATAAGTTAATGCTGTGTCTTCCAGGTGAGGAACTGGGAATGGAGTAGAATTCTTGTAATTCCTTCAGCTGAATTAGTTGTCTATTTTGTCTAAATGATGCCTGTGTGCTCTGTTTTCTCTTTCAAGTCCTAGAGATGTACAGCAAACTGAGGGACCAGATGAAAACTAAAAGGTAAGATTTTTCAATTGAGCGGTTTTTATTATCAAAACTTTCTTTTATTTACAATACTTAAAAAAGAGATTTATTATTTACTTACGTGTATATGTGTGTATGTCTGTGTGTTTGCTGTGTGCCTGTGATGCCCACAGAGGCCAGAAGAAGGAATTGGATCCCTGGAGCTGGAGTTACAGACATTTGTGTATTGTCTGATAGAGGTGCTGGGGTCTGAACTTGTGTCCTCTGTGAGTGCAACAAGCGCCCTGAAACCACTGTTCTATCTCTCTAGCGTCCTACTTGTGTCTTGAGCTTTCCACAGTCTTTCCGTGACTTCCACAACTTCGTCAGTTTTGAGGAGTTTACAGTGTTACTTTATAAGTTTTGTTTTTTTCCCTTTTGGAGAAAATAGATTGTCAGTATGTCTTACCACGTATGGTGTGATCTTTTTTTCTTTTGCTTTTCTTTTTTGTTTTCTTGATACAGAGTTTCTCTGTGCTCCCTGGCTGTTCTGGACTCACTTTGTAGACCAGGCTGGTCTGGAACTCATAGAGATCCACTTGTCTCAGCTGCCATGTGCTGGGAACTAAAGGCGTTTACCACCATGCCCCGCTTGCTGTACAATCTGATTTTTAATTGAGGTCTTTAGCTCTTTTATGCCTGATGCAGTTATTTGTATATGGCTTTCAGTCTAATTTATTTTCAGTTTGTCCTCACTATTATTTATTCTTTCTCTGTCTATCTACTTTCCTCGCAATCAGTTAACTAGATTTTAGGATTACATCTTGTCTTTACTAATGTTTTATAATCCATACTTCTTTGTTTCTTTGGAATGGCTGCTTTTAAGCTTATAATACTCTTTCATTTTCAGTGGATTTGTAAATAATTATGGCAAGTCCCATATAACACAAGGTCCTTTATAGAGTGTCCATTCAAATGGAAATGCTTCATAGATTTAATCATTACCTGTTGTATACATGAAATTATATTACTGTACCCCTACAAATATATAGTTACTATTTATCAATTAAAAATTTAAAACTATGCCTGTGTTTTACCATCCCTTCCTTGGTGTTACTGTAATTAACCTTATTTCAAAGTATGGCGTAGTGCCTACAATACAGCTTAATTTTTGCTATGAACTTTATATAAAAATACGTTAAAAGTAAAATTTAAAAATTTTCCATTTATCTGTATATTTTAAGTGATTCTTACACTTTTATTTGTTTATATAGATCTGAATTCTTTACTGTCTCTTTTTGGGTTAGTGTGATAGCTATGAATGCACTCAGAAATGCGGTGTTTCTGAAATAATTTATTTAAATAACTGTTGTTTTTCGTATGCCACACTATCTACCATTTTAGGTATATAGCTTAGTGCTGTCTAAGAGCATTCACAGGGTGATGTAACTGTCCTCACTTCTCGACTGCAGAACATGTCAGTCACCTCGGAAAGAAACCTTCTTCTAGTATTATTTCCCTTAGTCTGGGCAGCCGCCACTTCACTTTTATCTATATGTTTGCATATTGTGAACATCTCATATAAGCTGGGCAACATAGTACATGGCCTCTTATGTTTGACTTCTCCTTTTACAGTGTTTTCAGGACGCAGCTGTGCTTTGGTGTAAACCAGTACTTCACTCTTTTTTATGGAAGTGTTCTTCCACTGTGTGGCTGGACTATATTTTATTTTTTTATCATTTGATGAACATTTGGGTTATTTTCACTCTTTTAGTTATGATGAATAAAACATAGATACTTACCAGTTTTTCTGTGGACATGTAGTTGGTGAGTTCTATTGGGAATACACCTCTGAGTGGACTTGTTAGCTCATGTTATACTCTGTATTGTGCTGTTTTGTGAAACCAGTTGACTGCTTCTCAAAGCAGCTGCATCGTCTTATCTACCTGACACCATCATATCAGTACTTAGTATTATTTAAAAGGGTTAGATTTAGTTATTTTATTAGTTTATAATTTTTTTTTTTTTTTGCCTGCATGTATGTTTGTATATCATAGGTATATCTGGTGCTCATGAAGGTCAGAAGAGGGCTTTGGATCCACTGGGACTGGAGAGATGGCTCATTGGGTAGAATTCTGTTGTGTAAATCTGAGGTCCATACCTAGAATTCATGTAAATGTGGAAGGAGAGAGCTGATTCCACAGAATTGTCCCCTGACTTCCACATTGTGGTATACACCTCCACTACCTCTATATACATGCAATAAGAAATTAAAGAAAAAAAATAAATCAAAACTTTTTTTTTCTTTTTTGAGACAGGGTTTCTCTGTGTAGCCTTGGCTGTCCTGGACTCGCTTTGTAGATCAGGGTGGCCTCAGACTCACAGAGATCCTCCTGCTTCTGCTTCCTGGGTGTTGGGATTAAAGGCCTGTGCCCAACAACATTTTTTTTTTTTTTTTTTAAAGACAGGATCTTATTATGTTCAGGATGGCCTTGGATTTATCATATATAACTGAGATTGACCTTGAATTACTTCAGAGCCTCATGCCTCTTCTGAGTGCTGTTTGTCACTGTGCTTGAATTATGTTGCTGGGAATGGAATCCAGGGGGCTTTGTGCAGGCTAGAAAAACACCGTATCCCTTGTGCTGCAGTGGCCACAGCCATCATTGGTTTTGATGTTTCCTCTTGTCGTTACGCTGTGTTTCTTTTTAAGTACATACATATGGATCTAATGCTGTTTTCATGCTAGTCTGTCACTTCTTGAACTTTCTTTTAAAAACAAAGTTTACTTTTCTGGTTATAGGTAAAAAGATAACTTTTGGCTGGATAGTGAACATTATAATATTATGTTGACAGGTGTCTGGATTTTGGGGGAACTTTGCTGTTTTTCTGTTTAGTGTTGTGGTTTATTTTGGGAAGTAGTGGCTTGTACACCTGATACCCCCAGATGTACCCCCATTTTAAAGCTCTGCTAGGGCCAGCTATGATAGCTCAACTTTAATTTGAGTACTCAGGAAGCTGAGGCAGGTGGACCTTTGTGAGTTTGAGGCCAGTATTGTCTATGTAGTGAGTTCCAGGCCAGCTAGGAATGTATACTGATACACTCTGCAACAACAATAACAACAATAAAAGCCAAAGCTCTACCAGGCCAAGTATAGTGGGCTTTACAGAATATTTAATCTGGTCTGGATGGCCCAGTGGTACCTATGAAATTCAGCATTTGTCTGTTTGGCGTTAGGACATTTCTTTGCCGTCTCTGAGCTCTCTAAGTATTCATCTTATACCTTTCTGTCAGTTTATCCTTTTCTCCTCTTTTTTTTTTTTTTCTCCCACTTCTCTCCTCCACTGCTTCTCCCTTTTTCTTCACTTCACATACCCCATGTCTGGTTTAGTATTCAGCAAAGACTCCAGGAAAACTATGCAGGTGTGTCATTCCCCACCTTTTTCCCTCCCTCCCTCCCCACCTTCCTCCCTTCGATTTCTCTGCTACAACCTTTTTGGTCTACTATTTGATGCCTTAAGTCAGCAAATCTTTGGGCTCTGTGAGTCTTTATTTTGATTGTGTCCATCATAAAGAGATCACATTCAGGTAGCTAGCCTGTTTGTTCACAGTTATCTGCTGCTGTTCAATGAATGAAAACACTGTCTTAGGTATTAGCCAGGTGTGTCTGTCGGTTTCCTGGTAAGCTTTCATGGCCGGAGGCCTGGTTATTTGTTTTTAAGTTGTAAACACTGATTTTACTGTTGGGTTTTATGTTTCCTAAAGAGTCTCCAGCACATATGTTCTATTAGAAAAGGAACTATTATTTTCTATGGTGAAAGCTTGTATTTCATATTTTATTATTATGAATGAGAACAAAAAATTTATAGGTAACTGTGACTTACTTTCAGGGACCTTTTACTAGAATTAAAAAAAATCATCTTGAAAGAGTTCTTTTTCTTACAGTATCATTCAACTTTATCTCTAGAGCAGCTATTCTCAAGCTGTGGGTTGCAACCCTTTTGGGGTCGAACAACTGTTTCACAGAGGTCACTTAAGACCATTGGAAAACATAGATATTTACATTATGATTCATAATAGTAGCAAAATTACAGTTATGAAGTAGCAATGAAAATAATTTTATGGTTAGGGGTCACCACAACATGAAGGTTGCAGGATTAGGAAGATTGAGAACCACTGTCCTAGAGGGAAAAGGGGAGAATGAGCATACATACAATTGAAATGGAGGAATCAGCTTTTCAGACTTTTTTTTTTTTTTCCACTTTTTAAAAGACAGGGTCTTTTCTATGTAGCTTTTGCTACCTGTAAACTCACTGTGATCCTCCTGACACACTTGGCCTCATTAGTTAATTTACTTAAAATTTTCAAGTTTTATTTCTTTTAACAATTTTGATTTGTATATATGTATGTGTGCTTATGCATTTGAGTACAGGTATCCCCAGAGTTTAGAAGAGGGTGTCAGATCCCCTGGAACTGGAGGTATAGGTGGTTGTGAGCTGCCTGATATAGGTGCTAGGATCCAAAGTGCTCTTTTTTTTTTTTTTTTTTTTTTTTTTTTTTTTTTTTTTTTTTTTTTTTGTCTCTTTGTTTTTTGTTTTTTTGAGACATGGTTTCTATGTGTAGCCTTGGCTATCCTGGAACTCACTTTGTAGACCAGGCTGGCCTCGAACTCAGAGATCTGCCTTCCTCTGCCTCCCAAGTGCTGGGATCACAGGTGTGCACCACTACCGCCTGGCCTTTAACTGCTCTTAACCAACAAGTTATCTCCGTCCTCAGTTGTTGTTTCAAATGACTATTGTACTTGTATGAGTTAACATCCGTGGTGTATGTCCTTGTCGGTGTGGTGCGCATGCGGGTTTGCTGGCATAGCTGAGTGCATGTGGTGGCCAGAGATTAGGTTGAGTTTCTTTCCTCGATCACTCTCCACCTTTATTTTTGGAGACAAGATCTGACAGTGAACTTCAGGGTCACTTGTGTGCCTGTCACAGAGCTGGGGTTATGGGTCTATCCACCATAACTGGCTGTTTATCTGAGATGGGCATCCAGACGGGTGTTT